GGGTCGAGCTCGGCTGTCCGGTGGATTTCGCCGACGTAAAGAAGCGAAAGCTGGGAAATGGTATAGCAGAAAGGTGCCGTGTGCCGCAGTTCATAATGCCAAACGGAAGCAGGTTTCCGGAACTATTGCCGAATGCAAGTGGCCAGCTTGGGGTAGCTACAAGCGCGACGTACCGCTTGTGAGAGCGAGAGTGGAATGAGAACGGCGTGTATAGTACGCCGCAATTAAAATCATACCTCTAAATCATACTTGAAATCATACCACTAAAATCACACTAAAAGTCATGCGTCTAAAATCATACTTAAAATTGCATCTCTAAAATCATACTTAAAACATTCTCCTGCACTGTGTATGCCAACCATGTCGGCATACACTATTTATTTACGCGCAACGTCGCATGCATCATTTTTGTCGTGAACAATCGTAGCTACTTTACGGGCTACAATCACAAATGCTGATGATACGGTTGACGGCACTGCACATAGGTGACAGTCACGTTATTCGGTATTAATGTTAGACGGATTCAAGCGCACGGATCTCAGGCAATGCAGGAGCAATTGCACGACCTGCATACGGTCCTCACATCGTCGGGACGCGCGTATGTTGTTTCGCACGGCACGTGCGTTTACCGCAGTAGCTCCCGGCTTATGTGCGTTTGGACCCCTCCAGCATAGGTTCGTTATCCTAATTTATTGAAGGATGCGGCCTTCGAATTACTTACTGGCGTGTCTATGAGGGATTTGCATAGCGGGTCGTCACGCCAAGTGACTCTCCTCAGCAGCTGCACCTGTCCCTGCCGACCGCCCCTCACCAGCATCCGTCAGAGAATCCCTGCTGGCCATTCGACAAAGAGCGTCCTGGCATCCCCGTGTTTTTCGACCGGAAATTCCATCGGATTAATCGGCGCTGCTGGAGCACGGCGGCCGCGCGAGTCGCAGCAGCTCCTGCACCGGGAACGGCGCCAGCACCAGCACCGGGGCACCAGCTCCCGCGTCCGGCTGAGCGACGGCCGCTGCAGGTGGCGCTTCTTACATCCGATCTCACGAGATTTGCACTGCGACCAGTTCGGGCGCCGCACGCGTGATTGCAATCGCCGCCATCCACGCGTAGAGACGCGAGCGACGCGCGCGCCCGCACACATTCCGCGAGCGGCAGCATGGAGGACCTGGCTAGAAACGCATCTGGCACGTCTATCAGTGCATGCAGTGCATTCGATGAAGGGAAACGCGAACGATAGCGGCATTTTAACACCGGGATGGCTCTTCTTTCCAAACTAATGGATAGATCTTTCATAATGATCTTTCATAATGACTTCACGAGCTGCATGCATTTTCCACCAGAAAGCGCACGTGCCAGGGCCGAGCCTCACTTCTTATTCCGCTTCACAGAGAGCGGTCATTTAAACGCAGATGATGACAGGATGTATGCTTTGTGGCTGACAATTAGAGAGTGGTGCGTGGGCGTTTCATATGACGTCACATCTTTAACGGGATAATCGCGACCCTTAGAACGAAACAGCTGTTTCCTCCTGTGGAACAGTCACTCGGTAGACAAGAATGACAGTGGAGGAGCCAGCGGTGTATGGTATGCCAGAATTCCCTATGCGCCGAGCTGAGCAGGCCTGTGCTTGCAACGAATCTCCGCAATATAACGAACCACCTGGTGGCAGTGAGACTACATTTCACCCGATGCCCGACGCTCGGCAAACATCACCAAATCAAGGAGACTTCGGCAAATGTTTCAAGTTCTGCCTAAAATAACCCATCACGTAAGCACGCCGTCATCATAAAGGATGCACGGGGAGCCAGTCGCGAACGAATTACACACTCCGGCAGTTGGCGTGTTTTCCAAACCGCCCAGTCGGTCCGCAAATCACCGGCCCGAGCATCACCGGCTCCCGCCTGCCTGTGCGGTCTCCCGGCTCCCGTCTGCCTGTGCGGTTCCCCGGCCCCCGCGTGCCTGTGCGGTCTCCCGGCCCCCGCCTGCCTGTGCGGTCTCCCGTCTTCCGACAACGATCAGTCGTGACGCGCCCCCCCCCCCCCCCTCAGGACGGTGGAATCCGCGGCAAAACCAGCAGGCTGTCCGGTCCGCCGCCGGCGCCCCTCTGCTGTGACGTCAGCATCACCCCCAGTGAGTCAGCGACGCGCCGCGACTCGTCTGGAGTTCTGGCGATGTCTTGGGACTTAACGAACGATTCAGATGCAAAGTAAAGCCGATTTCGCTCAGCGTTGAGGACGCTCCTCTCAAGTTGGCCGGTGTCCGGCGGAGTAGATTTATGGGAAAGGTTGGAGGCATTCAGCGCCACCTGTATTCGTAATGTTAGGTGGCGCCACTGCCACAGTCCGGGCTAGGCCACCCTCTGCTAGTGGAAAGGACGGGGAGGGCCGGGGCGTCGTCACCGCAGCCGCCCGCTGCTCCGCCTGGTGACTGGTCTGGCGACCAGAGCTGGCGCCGTCGCTGGGGAAGCTATCGAGACACTCCTCACAGCGACGGGACCCCGACACAGCACTCCAGCGGACAGTCATGCGGGGTAATGACACTCAAACAGACGGTCACGCGGAGTGACAGCACTCCGTCAAGCGATCAGAGTGACGACACTCCAGCAGATGGCCACGCGGAGTGACGAAATCCCAACAAATGCTCACGCAAAGTGACGGTAATCCATTCGTCACGCGAGCTGACGACACTCGAAGTAACGGGCTGCCACACCGCCGGGGTGGCCACAGAGCCGGAGACCGCGGCTGAAGACCACGGCCCGGCGGCTGGCACGCCACCCGGAGGCGCGGAACGAGAGCGTCCTGGCACGGGCAAGCGGCTTTGTGACAGGATTCCCACGCTCATTGACTGACACCTGCCCGCCGTGCGGCTAAATCTCCACATCCCAGCGCCACCGAGAGCGGCTGCCGCAATGAGAAGGAAGTCGTCTCCCGCACACCAGCAGGGAGACGTGGCTGAGCAGTAGGGTTTGGAGGTTAGACGCTTAACACATAGCCGGTGACGCACTGCAGGCTGCAAACACACAGACGTGACACGTCACTCCGGGTGACGACGGCAGTAACGTGGGGGGGGGGGGGGGAAGAGGGGGGCTCGTCCGGGTGGCACACCAGGATGGCCTTCGGTTCCCATTCGTGACCGTCGCAGGCGGCTGACCGCTTCACGAGCTGAATGTCAGCACCTTAATGGGCCGGGGTCATCGCAGGGGTCATGGAACCGACCTGTGGCCGACCAAGCGCTTCAAGGGACTATTTGTAACCAGGAGTGACCCGACTAGCGTAGGATTCCTCCTTCACATTTTGGGCCCCAAAGTTTGGGGCAAGGTCCTGAAGTTGAGCCCCGTCAGTGAGGTTGCCTTGGCTAGTTTTAGGCTGTTCTCTACATTTCGAAGCCCAATATCGATAGCAGCTCCAATCCAAAGGAAAGCCGGATTCACTTTGTATATTTCTCGTTGCTGAAAGCCCGAGTTTGCAGCAATGCCGTAGAGTATTACATTTAAAACTTGCCATAATACAGAGCAGCGATGCTTTCAATTGTGACAGGACTTACAGCGAAACGTACTCTTTGGACTGTCAATTTGACGGGCTCTCACATGGAGCAAAGGCCGCAGCGTGATGAGAGTTAACGCAGACCACGTTCCTAAACCGAAAGAAACACATTTGGTTGCCTGGTCATGGACTTTGCATGCTTCTTTCCATGGGGTTACAATTCGCCTCTGACGCTAAGCTTGATATCTATGGTGTCATCCTTGCGTGCACCTACGGAACGATTTTCTTTCTACCGCGAGACAATGCCGGGACAATCAGCGTAGTTCTTCCAAGGGTGGTTTCCAAGTGCAACTTGCATGTTGGACTGCCATCCCTGAATACTGAACTTTACATAGATGTGTTCCAATCACTACGCCGGTCGTAACCATGTGCTTTCATCGGATTTCGATGCCACCAAGCTCATTTCATTGCATGACCGTTCAAAAAGGTTCCGCATGCCACATGATCACTCCTTTAAGGTTATCTTATGCAGATTGACAACGATGAAGGCCCCGAGCTCGGGCAATGAACGCAGTGTCACTCAGGTAAAACTGGATTTTTGTGGGGCCATTTCTGGCCATTTAATCAATACTGCCGCTTGCACGATGGGTTACCGCATATAGATTCTAGAAAGCATGGCTCATGCCCCTTCTTACCAAAAACACAAGCGCCCCGAGCGTGACGCAAACGCCCGCCGTTCCACGCACTTCGTTGTGTTGCGCATATCCCAATGAGAACAACTCCTACAAGTAAGTGTATTTCAAATTGGATACGTTGGGGAAAATTGCCACTGCCATGAGGTATTCCAAAGGAGGAAAAAAAACACAAAAAGGCGTCCCCAAAACCCAAGGTCAAGACAATTCTAATATTTGATCACCACGAGCACGACTAAAGCGTTGTACGGGAACCTTAAACGAAAGGTAACATATCAAAATAGGTAAGAGTACGGGAGATATCCCGACAATTAGCGTACAAACCAAAACCAGGTTCGTTGCGTGCATACAATATACCTGAAACGCGCAAGGCAATAGCAACCAAAAGACAGACCGAGGTATTGTATCCGGTGTTCATAGCTCACTGACGCGAGTGGACATGAGTCGCAGGCTTAACAGAAGTGATGCGAGGTAACGGTGAGCGGAGGGTACGCAGAAGACGCGCTCACAATCCGCATCGGGACGCTGCTAACCCACATCGCCCCACTTCAAGCCATTGTCACCACGTATCCGGGCCTTCGTAGGCTGCCCCCCCCCCCCCCCCCACAGTGATCTGCCACAACTCCCAGCTCACTGTCTCGTAGTCCGCTGTCTCCTTCGACCACTAGGACTGCCTGGCAAGTCACCAAAACGACTTCCGCTCCGACAAGGCACCTCTCGCATTGCCAGCAACGATTTCAGACATCGAGCTATATCAGCACGACTGTCGCTACCAGAAGAGCGGCTTCACTCTCGGGCGAGACTCAGACCCGAACACCAGCGGACGGGAGACGCACGTGATCTCCTGCACAGCGAACCTCCACCGCCGCCGCATAGTCCACGCTCCACCTTCCACCCACGCCGACCTGAGCGCGTCCACATCACAGGCCGCACCACAGCCTCGGCAGGTCGTCTCTACGCCAGCACAGCCAGCGGCAGGGGCGGTCACCGTCCCCACGCGCCAAGCGGCGGCACGGCTCATCCCTTGCAGTTGGCGCCGCAGCCGGCGCCGTGGCCCTTGTGCGACTCGGCCGTGCTGGCCGAGCTGACCACGATCTTGGCCGGCTTCGGCCACGAGATGTCGCTGGAGGCGTCGGAGTCCGAGTCACTCGAGTCCGTGTAGGCGCCGACGCCGGGGAGCACGCCGGCGCAGCGCAGCGCCGACGGGAACACGACCGCCGCCGCCGCCGTCGCTGACTCTGAAACGAGCGGGACTTCAGGACGGAGGCAACGGCCGGCTGTCCGGGTGGGGCCGGCTGTCGTGTGCCGGAGCGCGGCGACGGGTCGGGTCGAAGTGCGCTCCAAGTGTGTGGTTGGTGGGTATCGTTGACTGGTCGTGTGGACGCGGCAGGCACGCAGTGCCCAAAGTCAGGCCGCTGGGAATATCGGAGTCATGCGACGGGGCGGTGTTGCAGTCGGAACCACTGCCGAGAAGCATGGACTAGAAGTGAATCGTTCATAAACTGGACAAGAACGCTCCACTTCAAGAGTGCCTGACGCTGCAGATGCGCTGCGGTTGAGGCATGGAGACGTCACTCGCTTTTGCAGCGAGCCCTTCTATTTTCCCAGGTACCCCGGGACAATTTCTGCTCTCGTCACTTGGTCTTCTCGCTCGTAACATCCAGCCCCACAAGTAGTGAACTGCGATGAATTTGGCATTGAAAATCGACTCAGTCACGATTTCAGGATGACAACTCTATTAGTTTCTACAGTCAGTGAGTACCCGATGCGTGCACACTACCAGCAGCGCTAGGTGCTTCCAGATGCCACCACTGCCCCGGGTGTATGCCAATGAGTAACCCCAACGGTGGAGAGAGACGCCGCCGCGCTTTTCCACAATGACCGGGGCTAACACTTCATATACTAAATACTTTCTAAAAAATGAGCGGCATGCATTACCAGCCCCATGCATGCATACGCAATGTTTCAGAACAAGAATTAGCAGTGAAGCATCATTCCAGCTGGGAGATTAAACGCACGGCATTCTGCTTGCTGAGGACAGAATGGACGTAGTACTTGGCATTTCAAATAAAAATCTCTCCTCCGCCTCTCCACCGCCCGAGAGTCTTTGCCAGAGCCCACAGATCCTCCCACTGTTCAGAGGTTGCACCAGAGGCCCCGATAGGACCCATACATTCAGCCAGAGCCCAGACACGTTCTCGGAGCCCATAGGTTCAGCCAGAGCCCAGAGGTTCCGCCAAAGGCCCACCAGACCCCAGAGAACCGGTCAGAATCTAGGGGCTCCACCACAGTCTAGAGACCTCCCCAGATACCAAAAGTTTCGACAGAGACTTTGCCAGCGTCGAGAGCCTGCTGCAGCGGACCCGTCCGGGCGGACAAACGTTGCTGGAGCGGGACACCCACCGTCAGCGCTAGCCTTCCTCTCGCCCTCCGCAGCCGCAGCCGCAGGCCGGGGCCGGGGCCGGGGCCGGGTCGGGCTCGCGCGCCCGCCGCTTCACCACGCCGGCCAGCAGCTGGCTCTGCGAGCGTTTGGTGCCGGCCGGCCGGGCTGGCGCCGCCGCCGTCCGCTGCACCTCCGCCTTCAGACGCTGCTCCTCGGCCCGCTCCTCCGCCGACGCCTGCTCCTTCCTGCCGGTCCGCAGGGCACGCGCCGTGGATGCCCAGGTGACACACGCGCCTACAGCATTTTGACGTACTAGTACGTCACCAACGCTTCCAAGTTTTTTTTTACTCCAAGCGAAAGTTAGCTCATTCCACAGGCCTTCTCTCGAGACCTCCTTCTCCAAAATCGATCGCCAGTATAACTCTGCATTCCTCGGCGCGGGATGGAAGCCCAATTCATCAAAAGGGCATTGGGTTAATCATTTGATGAAGAGCAGTCACGATCTGTTCTACACGTGGGACACGGGCACTGTGTTCACGAGCATAACTCACGCCACGTAACCTTGCCCGTCGCGAAAAAAAAACATGTGAAATCGCGGAAGTGAAGGCTGCTTACAGCACACCTGTGACTAAAGGGTACTGTTTTGGACTGTGTTTAAACACACCACTGTTTTACAAAAACGCGCTACATCAACGTCCAACGTAAGTATTTTTTTTGTGCAGACCGAAATTCGCTCTCAATGGCTTTAAACACGTACCTGAATTCTTCCAGTTCTCTGTTTTCTTCCTTCCTTATTTTGACCTCCTGATCAGATTTCGTTTTGTCAACCATGTCGAGGAAATTGCATTCATCTTCATCCAGGTTCTTTATCTGGTTCTCTGCAATCAAACAAAGTCATTTACCACGCAGAAAAGGAGACCAGCACACACACATTATGTTATCGACACGTGGCAACTCGACACGCTCAAGGTTTCTCACTGTTTATCGGAGGTTCACAACTCACTGTTTATCGGAGGTTCACAACTAGCACAGCAAAACACGTCACGCCGACCGGAAACACCGCTCTTTAATCCATGACAGAACCCCCGACGCTTCGGCCAATGTGCGACGGGCACGTGTCAACGCAACGCGTGGTATGTCACAATCTTTTGGTCATACCAGTCCGCCCAACTGGCATTGCTCTTCTGACGTAGTAACAATGGGGACTCAGCAACACGTCATGCTGCTGCAAGGAAATGGTCTTAACGAGTCCAGTGAAGCACGTGTCAATACAATTCCATAATATATTCAGAATTCATGGACCAGCATAGAAAGTACGGGTTAGATGCGCAAAAAGAAAAAGGTGTCATGACGTTGAAACCACCTAACGAAAACCGAAATCAGAGTGCACCACCACACAAGAGCGCACACGGGATTTTACAACGAGATGGGGCGGCAAAAAGGAGACAACGAGTAAATCTTTTAACACACACACAGATGCCCACCATGACTCCGTTTTTTCATTCCAGCACTCCCACTCATGGCTGTCTCACCATCTGTTGCCGATCAAGAGGCAGGGCGTTGCAGTCACCTGTAACCTAGCACCGCCCCCTGGCACCATAAACAATCTAAACATTTCAGAGATGTGTGCGTTATTGGGGCTTTACGACGCACCCAGCTGCTGAGGCTATATGGCGTCGCCTGCCTCTCACCCTGGCAGGAAGGGCGGGCACCGCGGGGAATCGAACCCCGTACCTCTGGTTTCCCAGACGCGCAGTGGCTAACGCAGACGCGTTAACCACTACACTACCGGCACCCCCTCAATATTTCAGAGATGTTACACCCAAAAGCGCTAGTCCAACATCCTGGCTTGCTTCTCGGCATCAAGCTAAGTACTGGTGATGTATATGGCATAAAGTATGGACCAATTATCATCATTGTCAAGCTCATTACTTTAGTTTTTACACGAGCCTTCTGTAGTAGGACTGTGAGGGATAGCCTAATGTATGACACACTGCTGCAGAAAAACCTTGGCACTCCAGGCCTATCTTCCCTGATCATTGTACAGTGCTCAGATCAACTATTCAGCTTCAACCTAGTCCATTTTATCCAAAGGATATACAATACATAAAACAACATCAGAAGATACCCACATATCACCCATATGAGCCTTCTAAGCACTATCTATCTCTGGATAGAAATAAATGATCTGGTTTCTGTGGCATAGAGAGCATTGCTTGAGCCATATACTTACTGAACTTTCTAGACTCGTCCCACTCCTCTTGTTTCTTATCTTTTTGCTCCTGAAGTCGATCATAGAGGGTTCTGTTGTCATATTCTGGCTCAGGAGCCTCTGAAATAATAGCAAAACAAACATAACAAATATCCAATAATTCAGTCATCAGCACAGCACACATATGCCAGCAGCATGTGAACTAACAATGTAAAAGTCAGTTCTTCTTCACTGGTTTTAAACCTTGATTCAGAAGAAACATAGTCAACTGCGTGCAAGACATGCTGATGCAGATGGTAATGTATTCACCATAAAATCTACATCGTGGCTTTTCACTTTGGCACATATTGGTAACTAAAAATGCCGGGACATGGTAAAAAGGCAAGCATGCCTCTGGCACGGGAACAAAGCAAGGCGACAGCACTGTCAGTTACACATGGCGTCGAAAAACCGGCGCCTTGAGGATCGACGCCCAGCCTACTAAACAACTCTACGCGCCGGCAGCACAGCTGGGCCCTCCCCGTCTCTGCGCGGACCGGCGGAGTGGTTCGGCGTTCCGAACGTAGTGTCGTGCTGGTACCTCTGATTTGCATGCTGCCCAGTCGTGCAGTGCGCACTTTTAGGCAGTCCGATCTTAATGACAGTTTGAACAGCGCACACAGTTTGGGAGCCTGTGGGCTGCTACGGAATTACCCATCTGGGGTGTATGATAGCGTCCGTCATATGTGGCCGTTTGACACGACACAAGCTGACACGCGGCCGTTGTCAGTTCATATGTGACCATTTCATCTTCTGCCTGTCACCATCGGTGCGCGGAAATTGACCATCTTCTGCGTGCGCACCTGAGTATCACTACAGCAGCCGTACACAGATGTGCGGGATTGGTATCAGGACCAACATACACCGGCACAATGTTCTTTAAAGTTGTTTGAGATCACATAATGATTGCAAGACAATGTTCCTACCACTCTATTACACTCATGGGTCATTGTATCAATCTGTCAATGGAAGCTGAACTGATGATCAATGGCAACTCCCATATTTCAGTTAGCTGCAGCTCTGACCTAAGAGAATGACTCCTCAATCACTGCAGCACCTTCATTGACATCAATAACCCTGTTTAGCTTCACTTTCATGCTCACCATGGCTTTCATGTCATTCCTGAGGTCTACATCATGTGGGGAAAATATTTAGTGCCATGGCCATGTCACACAAAAATGTGACCTGGTCCAGAGGGGGTGATTAGCCCCCTCCCCCATGCAGGGGCATCCCTCACAGCTTGTAATATATATATATATATATATATATATATATATATATATATATATATATATATATATATATATTGCATTGCAAATTAAAATCAAAGTAAGTACATTGTCAGTAAGTCAAATATATTATAAGTTAAATATATTGCATTGCAAATTAAAAATGGGTCCAAAAAGAGCATAATCAGTCCCAAAACCTGTAAAACAATTTTGCCCCTAACTGTGTCCTTAGTCCAAGCAAGTTTCCCAATGGTGAATAGGTTTGTCAGCAAAGTTTGAAAACATGCTAAATGCCAAAGAAAAAGCATGTCATGTTGACACATATATCCTCTTGTGCATTTAAACTGTCCATTAGTTAAGGAGTCAATCTCAAACCATTCATAAAGAAGCTACTAGGCCTAACATTTGTTCTTTAAATAGCTAATTTTTATCAGCACATTTTGCTTTTTTAAGTTGAGTTTTGACAACATATTTTGTGTATAAGGTACAAGCAAGCACAGGAAGGCTGCAGCTATCCCTTTTGTTGGCCAATCCATTACAATACTAATAACAAAACTGTTTTCCCAAGCCTGACATATTTCCAATAATTTTTTAAAGATTGCTTTCATGTGGGTTTGATATTTATGCTACTTTGAGATCTAAATACCTACTTGCATGCTTCTTTTTGGTCCTCATGCACAAAGTACTTCTCATATTACAGATCTCATATCTGCTACATGCAAGATATGTACAATACCTGGTGAGTGTTTTCCTCACCAGATATGGCATGTCAGTGTCAAAAGGTGGCAATCTATTTTCTGATAAGGTGGCATAAACTACATGAACTATTTTTATGAAAAACTTGAGTACATTTGTTTTATACATACCATAATGAAAATTCTGCTAATATGTAAGTAGGGAATAAGGGATATGAAGAGCTTTCGTGAATGACATGATGATCAAGATGATGCATGATGCCCATGATGTTACACCCAAGACATCTATGATGCTGCATGACATTTCATGTTTGGACACACCAAACAGGAAAGCAATAGGGATCCACACATCCAAGCATGTCAACATGGTGATACAATATACAGTCACAGGGCCATATCTTTGCCTCACTCCATACCAATTGGTTGATCCTCTGTTCGGACTTTCTCCCATTCTTGCTGGCGCAGTTCACGCTGTTTCTGGAGATCTGCCTCACTCACAAATCCACTACTCATCTTTCTGAAGGTGCTGAAAATGATAATGTTGGGCTGGAGGCATCAAGCAAGACATGTGTTGCTCATAGTCATTCAAAAAGTATGGTACATACATACCAAACTGGAAAACATGCCATGCTGATCATGTCCTGGGCAGCAGTGACATTGCAGAATGTGCCTTATTCTAGAGTATGCATATTGAGGACCAGTGCTCAGCATCAGTGCACAATCACCATCCTTATCAGAGCATGGATAGTTGCTTTCCCTGAAAATCTTGATATTTCAGAGACAATTTCTGGCCAAAGAACCTCCTAAGGGAATCCTTCCAACAAACCAAGATTAGATTAAGTACAATTTGGCCTAGCCTGCATTCAGTGCACATGCACGGGAGGTCTAGCCCACCGATTTCAAGTGTCTAGTGTCTGATGTACCGAACTTATTTTAGGCAGATTCGGTACACGCTACATGTTCAAGAACTGAATGCGCCAGAAGTAAAGAACAGAACAGGAAGCTCCCTACGCTGACACGCACAGTGGATAGAACAATACAGTGAACGGTACTAAAAAGAGGCACCCCCAAGGCACCCTTACCCGCCACCAAAAAGGAAAACTTACAAGGAACTACCCAATAAAACGTACTAAATTATTTCCGACAGCAAATTGCGCTGTAAACACCAAACAGTCCACAAAGAAATCGTTATAGGCCAACGATCAAACATTGATGCACAGCGCACGTCTTAAAAGTATTCTTCGCGCCATTAGTTGTACGTGCTGATACCCTCTCTGTAGCATGTGTTCAAAGCTTCCTCACTTTCCATTGCTTGGCCAGCTGGTCACATATGAATCACATACACCAGTCTCGTCTCATTAGCTGTACCTACGCTCGATCCATCATTTTACTCTGCTGTAATACTTATAAAAAATGTCACAAGAGATGGTTAAAATTTAGCATTCTGAGAGCTGGATATCGCAGGATGCTGATACATGAATACCTATGGCAGAATACGTAGCCCTCGGGTCCAAAAGAACAAATATGTGGTCATTGATTCTGGAGTTGACTTTGTTTGATCGTGATTTTAAAACTGCCCAAAATTGTAATCAAAGACACCAAAATCCTGATAACGATCCAGAAGATGTAGCACCAACAAAAATGTCAGGGTTATGGTTTTATCAGCTGATTTCTATGGTGACAGCTTTTGGCTGTTAGCACGGCCTTGAGATGTAGACAACTGTGGCATCATGCACGACCGGCGCGACACGTAGCAGAACGGCTTGCCTCGGTCTTGGAATCGCCGAGGGCCCGCCCGTCGGGTGCTGTGCATTTAAATCAGTTAGTTTGTGAGTGGAACGGTGGATTTACGGGTCACTAACTTTTATGATAAGTTGAGTGCGAACGTCCATTCTGTTCAAGCGGCGCCGTCCCTTGTTCCTGAATTGTACGAGCATAAGGATTAGTTTTCGTGCACGTAAATCGCGCCTTTAAACGCTTGAGGTATTCAGGATGATATTAATTCCTGCTCTGCGTCTGGACTGTTAACCTGGTCAAGCTTCGGTCCTCTCGACTCTAGAGCGTTCGGTTTTAAGGTAAGAATGTTTTTCATGTCTTAAGTTGTGCCTGTTCTGGAGTGGTAAGCTGTGTACTGTGTGTACTGTGGCTTTGTTGTTCCCCAGCTGATCTCATCTGTTGAAGAGACATGGCCCAAATAGAAAGTCCTTCCATTTTTTTCAAGCTGGAAAGTCTATAACTTGATTGAAATTTTTGGTGCATCAGATTGATATGCTGAGTCAACAAGAATATGTATTTACCCTGTGTTGGCTTGCCATATTGGTGTTAATTCCGTGTGAATTTGTTTTGTTTAATTGTAAGACATGTTGCAAATATGATTAAATAGCAGTCACATGCACAACCTGCCTGGTGTGTTGCTGCTGTTGGAAGCTATTTGTACATAGCTTTAAGGTTTCATTTTGTTAAAGATTTTTGGCATCACTGATTTGCAGCCAAACCTGAGTGCAACATTACACTGCTGGAAACCTCCTCCTCTATCCCCTGTTTTGCTTCCATTATGTTATGGGGTGTAGGTGTATTTTCCTACCTGACATTAGAAAAAATCACTGGTGTGATTTTTACTGGTGTGAAATTACTGGTGTGAGCTACATCCGTGATTGGTTTGGGCTCTGAATGACCACTGCAGTTAATACTCATGAAAACCCCAGTGAACAGCTAGACAGGCCTGCCAGCTTTATTGCCAGAGCTCTATCAGGCCCAGTTTTGCTGTCGTGCATAATATAATGTGGGAATGCCTCAAGCTAGTAAATAATTGCATGAACAACTAAAAATGCACCTTTTGTTTTAAAGGGTGTGTTAAAAAATAGTGAAATCAATACTTAACTCTTTAAAAACCATCATAGTAATAATTTTGATACCATGTCCATGCATGCAGCCAAACACATAATGACATGTATGTTGAAATAATTTGACTTCCTTTTGGTTTGCACTGTGTGGTTTGTAGGCTTATCATGCAGAGGCCATAACAGCTATGGCCATATATTTTAAATCAGCAAAGTACTTAAGATAAATGGCTGAAAGTGTGGATGGTGACAACCGGATAGACTTAGATATTACGTTTAAAAGAAGTCACCAATGAAACACACAGTTGATGACAGAAGACATGTGCAAGCTGGGATCTACACACTTGGGCTGGATTTTTTTGGGTTTGCCATTTGATTGTTGGGACAGGCAACTGTGTGTGTTACATGTTATGCTAGGCATGTCTTTGTATTTGAAATTTGGAGTATCAAAATAATAAACCATTTCAAACTCCTTTTATGCAGTAGGAATTTGTTGAAAATGGGAAACACTGTCATGGCATTTTGTGCATTTGCCCCTCCCCCCTTAGGTTCCAAAGGGGCTCAAAAGGTCCCTCATAACCCATGATTGTGGGCCCAATTTTAGGGTGCAAAGGGCCTGAAAGGCCAGCTTGAGGTTTCATTCAGGGGCCCTGGCCTACAGGGCCAGGCACTCCAATGCCAGTCAGAGTGCCCTGCACACTGATCAGGACCTCTCTGAGCCGATAAGAGCCTTTTTTTGGTCAGACACCACCAGCAACACATACCCGGCCTCTTGACGGCATGGGCCTAAGAGCCTGTTTTCAAGCAGGGACAAAGCTGGGGCCAGCGATTCACATTGCTCTGGACTCCCACAGCGCCTGACAGGGGCCCTGTGTTGACAATGGGCCGCGAGTCGGCCAGAGGCAGTATTCGAGGAGGCCCAAAGAGCCTAAAGGGCCCGCCGGGTCCGACGATCAAGGACCCGATTGGAGGGTCTGAAGGCATTAAGGGCTGGTCGGAGTCTTATTCAATGGCCCGACCTGTGAAGACCTCAGATAACGACCAGAAGGCCCTTTGTGCCGATCGGAGACCCCCTGGGCCGATATAGGCCTATATGTCGATCAGGCTCCACTGTATCACACAGTCGGCTCCGTTTCAGTATGGGCCTGAGGACCCATTTCCCAATCACGTTTAAAGTGTGCGGGGGGGGGGGCAGGGAATTACACTGGTGTGGGGCCTCGCATCTGTCTGGGTTCTACAGCGTGTGACAGAGGGCACTGTGCTCGCAAGGGTCCCAAGCCGACCGAGGGAAGTGTTCGATGAGGCCCGGGGAGGGGCCTACCGGAGCTAACCCGGTTTAAGGGCACAGGGGCCCGAAGAACTGGCTGTAGGTCAAGTAAAGAATCGCGGCCCGTAGCGTCGTGACCTGAAGTATCAGTCAGAGGCCCATTTCATTCCAAGTCACATACTAAATTTTCACTTATGGTAAGACGTTTGGGAGTTAGCTGTAGCATGCAGGGATGCAAGCATCCTTGCACGCTACAGCTAACTCCCAGAATGCTAACACTTCTCGCAAGAAGCGCGCATTGCTGCCTCAATACCAAAGCATCATTCTGCATGTTCTCAAATGACCTGAGCCTCCTTAATGAAGGCGCCGAGTTTGCGGTTATTCTGACGGTACAAACGTGCTGGCCACTGACAAAAGGTCCGCTCCATCCACCATAGCCTGACATCACGAGGCTGACGCTGAAGCCGAATCTGGTGTACAAGGCCGTGTTGTAAATTAAACCTATCTTCGCGACCGCTGAAAGGTATGGGATGAGAAAACATCCGGGTCTTCAAAGCGGCTGAGACGAGATGTTAATAGTGGAAGATGATCGGACTGTTGTTCTCGTCTTAATGAGACCGAGGTCAACAGTTCCACATCGCGTATGAAACTGAATCAGGAGCCGTAATTCAAGGATTGTTCGCGGACGAAACTACAGTCAACGGTCAAAAATGGTGAAAGACACGACCGAATCCGCAGGCAACCTTTTGAAATTGCACGAAGCCGAAGCCAAAGCCTAAGTCGAAGTTGAAGTCGGTCGTATGAAATGGCTGAACGGAAGCCGAACTGGGAGCCACGGAAAGAAAACAGCGATTTCCGAAGCCGAAGCCGATTTCACTCACGGCGCTGGTGTTAGCACAGCGTAGGTCAATGCGAAAAAGGCGAGTGGTGGTTTTGGAATCAACCGAAAGTTTGTCACAGCGAAGTTGGCCTCAGTTTCGTGTGAGGCAAAGTGTGCTTTTCATCAAAATACGATCTTGATCCACTGCTTTGCTTACAGCTTCACCGTTAGTTTGCTTTCTATCCCTTCTCCCAACGTCTCCACTGCGCCCTCCTCTCCCACATAAGAACCGTCAGCATACGCTGAAAGTGCAGGATTTCCAGTTCGTTTTAAGACCCGAACTAAGTAGGATAGTTATCCCAGTGTGATAAGTGAAATTGCTTACACTGATAAAAAGCTGTTGGTAAAACCATTTTATATTGAAGCGCATACATTTTAAATCTTTTTCTCCGTTTGAAATGGATGGGCACGCATATGCATATGCCTTTTATGCATCGGGGTAAAATGATGAATGCGAGTAGAGGTAGATGCATGGACACGATAATGACAATAGGCATGAGTAGGGGCCATACGTGTGGGCATAGGAATAATTGGTGTCATAGCTGTACAAAACGGTAATATGGATTCAGTCGGCGTGACCTTGGTTTCGTAAACACCGCTGTCATGCGTGCGGGCTGTCACACTCAGACGTGAGATTGGACATGTGACAGATCGGACATTAGGGGAATTAAGCCGCGGATGTGTTGTCGGACATGTCCCTCAGTGAAACACCAGGGCACTTGCCTGTCCTCGGAACTTGCCGAAATGGCCCAGTGGAAGTCTGCCATCCTAGTTTCACGTGTTGACCCCTCTCCGGTCAGCGGCCTTTCTGCCTGCTTCTTGCCCCGACAATGGGATATTGTCATCCTTATCGTCGTTTATATCGCCCACCGTTTTTGGTGTGAATGTCTTAGCAATGACGGAAACTAAGTAGCCATTGATTGCGGAACTTAAAGACGTCAATTTACTTATCAGGACTTGATGCCTGTCACCCCCCCCCCCCCCCCCATCTCTTGAGCTACTGGTGTAATGAAGGCGAACTGGTGTTCGTGTGATTCAAACTGCTCATGTCGGGGCCACCCTAGAAACGCTGGCATGGCCACTGTCAACAGGGTACCCGCCCTCCACCCCCGAATCCCGTCCCCCTCACCCCCACCCACCGTCTCGTCTCCGTACGTTCGAGACGTTCGACGTTGGACTGTTGCACCCCTCCCCCGTCCTCCCCCTCCCCTCCGGCTGTCTGCTCCCTGACGAGCGGCCGGCTGTGGGCGACAGTGCCCCGTCGCCCCTCCCCGGCCCAGCCCGCCCCGACGCCCGGTCCTTCGAGTGCCCTCGGCCAGGCGGTTATCGGCGGTCCGTCGACCGGCCGCCCCCGGGGTCAGGGGTCCCGGGCGGCGGGCGCACGCCCGCGGCCCGGCCGCGGCGCACTCAGTCCTGCGGCTGCCTCCGACGCGACGGTCGGCGGCCCGGCGTGTGCAGTGAGAGACGCCGCGCTCTGCCGCGCTGTGCGACGTTGGCGGACGCGGAGCGAACGGCACCATGAACGGCTCGGCGTACACGGTCGTCAACCTGCCCTCGCACGTGGTAGGTGGCGGGCTGGGACCCGGCCGGAGGGGACGCGGCGCGGCCGGGCCCCGCGAGCGGCGCGCCCGAGGCGTCGGTCGAGCCCGGCCCCGGGTCGGCGGCAGCCGGGGGATGTGTGGTTCGAGGCTGGCCGGCCGCCAGGTGGCCGGGCGGGGGTCACCCGTGAAGCGGGGACACAGCCGCCTGCCAAGTGGCGCGCGGCGCAACCCGTCACCCGGCCGGCTAACACCCGCCCGCGAGGCGCCCGGTGGCCTGGCCAGCGGGGGGTCCGAGTGCTCTGCTCGCTGTGCTTGTGTGCTATGTGTTTTGGACTGGTCTTGTGAGTCCACGGTTAGAGTAGCCCTGGCTCGTGCGATCTTGCAGGGTTGACACAAAAGCACGGCCACGTGTTGTCGAACGGTATTCGGTGTTCGTGGTGTCCTCCTCGCGCGAGATCCGGCATGGACGGGAGTGCCGCGGCGGGGTTGGCTCTCGCCTTTTCTGCAACGGGTTGTGGAACCGGTGCGAATGGCCAAACCCGACTGACGAGTCAAAAGCTCAACTGTCAGACAAATGCTGCTTGTAAACAAACTTGGAAGAACTTAATGAGTGGTTGGCGTAACTAGGGCAGCCTGTTGTAACTAAGACACGAATATACACAAAAGCTGGGACAAGGAGAGCTTGAAGCGCCTCATTTGAGTGAACGGAAAGCATATTCCACTTGTTACGAGTGCAATTTAAGGGGGACAATTATTCGGGTGAGGTCCGAGCCGTCTCTGCACACGTTATATGAGAACAAAGACAAACAGCTCCAGGTCGCTCAACAGCCGTCGTCCTCGGCAGGCCGGCGGTCCCAGCCCTGGTCGAAGAGTGCTCCTTGCCCTGTGCCCGGTTGCCCGCGAGTGGTTCGCCGTCAGCGCACCCACTAACCGCATTGGAACCGAGACACGGGCCAAGTCAGTATTCTGAGCACACGTCACGGTTGACGAGTGCAGTAAAGCGACACGTGTTTGTGACGTCAAGTGTGCCCGCTTCCAACAGTCTGCTGCGGGACGGAGGCCGCATCTCCGGCTCCGCCCGGCGCCTCCGATTCGGGATCCGGGCCGGCCGCCGCCAAAACACGGCGTCACATCTGCGTGCCAGTTCAGCTGTGTTGACGGTCCGGGCGGGCGTCGCCTGTTCGGGCCCGGCCCGACCCAAGGACGCGCGGCGACGCGTGGAGTCGCACTGAGCCGCGGCACCTCCGCCCCGGCCACGTGCGGAGGAGCGCAGGTCTGGCGGCGGCGCCCCGGCTCCCGCTGGCGAGTACCCGCCCTGCTGTGGTCCGGGTCACGGCTCCGGCAGCGGCGCCCCGGCTCCTGCTGGCGAGTACCCGCCCTGCTGTGGTCCAGGTCACGGCTCCGGCGGCGGCGCTCGGCTCCCGCTGGCGAGTACCCGCCCTGCTGTGGTCCGGGTCACGGCTCCGGCAGCGGCGCCCCGGCTCCTGCTGGCGAGTACCCGCCCTGTTGTGGCCCAAGTCACGGCTCCGGCGGCACCGCGCGCCGGACCGCGGCGATGGTGACGGGACGGCCGTGTCGCCTCCTTCCGATCGCCTGACCTCCGGGCCGCGATAGCACGGCTGATCTCTCCGATTGTCCGGCGCTGGGTCTGTCGATCTGTCGAGAACGCCCGTCCTTGATCGGCACTCGGTCGTCGCCCCCCCCCCCCCCCTCCCCCCCCCCTCCTCCGCTCGGGAGCTCTGGGTGCGTCCACCGTGACCTAGTGGACTTGATCTTGTGTATGTGCGCAGGGAGACGGCCAGTGCTCTTTTAAGTCCACGGCCGCTGAAAAACGACGATGATTTGTAAATATTGACATTTGCACGGCTTTAGGTCGCGCTGCATCGAACAGGGCGCTGGCGGTCCGAATATTTTGGTGGATGCATGCTTGGCGTATCGGGAGGAGTCGCTGTGAGCGTGAGGTGCAGTTTAATGGGCTGATGCGATGTCACTCCTAGCGTGGCGGCGTCCGTCGCAAGGCTGTCAATGCAGGCCGTAGCACATCTTGCTGTCGCCCACAAGTATTGGTTTTCTGAAGCACGGCGCTAGACGTTGTTTTAATGTGCCCTGCACTGTATACAGGCCATCCTTGCCATGCACAAAACGGCCCGCGGCGTCTCCCAGTCGCCTGTTTGTTGTGTTTTTCCGAGTGTCGACTCAATGGTGGCGCGTATATGCGGTGAATATCAGCAGATGCCCACCACAGCTGTCGCGCCCTTCCCCGTCCACCTGTGTGCACACCCGGGCAGGTGTCGGTTACGCCTGCTGAGCGCCAGCCAGGCCTGTGTTCGCGCCGGGGCCGCTGACAGGAGACGTTTTGTTGTCCGGCCGTGCTGCGTGGCGAAGACTGCGAGACGCCAGTGCGTGGGTGCCCTAGCCTGTGAGACGGCCTCTCCGTGGCCCGGTGCGGACCTGTCCGCACGCTGCAGGCGAGATCGTCCGAGTCCCTGCCGCCTGCCGGTGCGGCGCGTCGCCGCTCGCCGGCTGGCGACAGAGGACCTCCACGTGCGCCTGGTGCCGGCGCGCGCGCGCGTGTTGTCTTGGCTCTGCTGGCCGCGTTGTGAATATGCCATCACGGCGCCTGTCGTGTTACGATGTACGGCGCGGCGGGCCGGCGACCTGTCCAGAGTCTTGTGCGTCAGCTACATCGCTGATTGCGGCGGGATTGGCCGGTGTCTGGGTCGACAGGCGCAGGCCGTGGTGACCCGCGTACAACCGCAAGCCCCTATACCGCATGTTTACCGACAGGAGCAGGCCCTGACTCCTCCTCCCCCTCTGTGTTTGTGTGGACGGATATAGGTCCTGACAACTTCGCGTCTGTGTGGACAAACACGGGCCTCGACATCCCCGTGTATGTGTGGACAAAGACCGGCCGTGATCACCCGTGTCTGTGTGGACTGGCGCCAGTTGTGACGGCGCCGTGCCTCTCCCTCTCGACAGGCGCAGGTTCTGACGGCGCCGTGCCTCTCCCTCTCGACTGACGCCGGTTCTGACGGCGCCGTGCCTCTCCCTCTCGACAGGCGCAGGCGGCGGCCGACTCCCAGGCGGGCCGCAGCACCGTCATCAGCATGGCGGCCGAGTCCCGCGGCCACCGGCGCTCGGCCGCGGCCGGCGCGCGCAACGGCCGCGCCCGCCACCACCCGATGGACATCGGCCTGGTGAAGGTGGCCGAGCGCGAGGAGCGCGAGGGCCTGGTGCTCTGGCGGCGGCCCGTCACCACACTGCACTACTGCTGCCGAGAGCTGCTCATCGAGACAGCTCGTCTGCTCAGGAAGTGAGTCGGCAGGCCGCGCCGCTGGCAGTAGATGCACATAAGACGCTGAGGGCAGTTTCCACGCCTCCCACTCGTTGAGTGTGGACTCCGTGTGGATTTCCACTCAGCAAGAGGGGCGGCTGGGTTGCGGTAGGCGTGTACGGGGTTTCGTGGGTCGCGGTGTTAGGTAGGATTCCGACGATCGCGTCGAGTCCTTGGCGCGTCGCTTGTTTCATGATGAGGTGTCAAGGAAAGTCGTGCGATGTTTGCGTGAGGCTAGGCGGTCACGAACGCTGTCTGTCAAAACCATAGTGTGCCGGCCGTACGACTGCGGACTGGGGACAAGTGCGGTCGAGCCTCATCTTGTCCGGCCTGTCGTTGGGGGCACGAGTGTTGATAATGCATTCTGAAGAGCCGTCTGACACCCTCGGTCAGAGCTGGTCAGAGTACGCCTCGGGCGCAGCTCGGTCCGGCTGGACTCTGACCCGGCTCCACTCGGACTGGAGCAGCGCTCTATGCGCCGAGTACGCGGTCCGGAGCGTGGCCGGCCCCTCAGAGCCCGCAGCTGGCTCCGTCCCTGGTAACGAGCGACGCGCCGTGCTTTGCCGCCATTATGACTAGTGGCAGCTGCTCTTAATCTCTGCTAGCCCAGGTGCCCTAGCCGCGGTAGGCCGCGTTTCCATGCGAACATCGACTGATTGCAGCGAGAGGGGGTGGGGTAGGGGTGACGTTTCAGGCGGCGCTCGCGCGCGTCCCCGAGGCTGGCGCTCGCCCGGTGCCGATGGTGACGTCACCGCCCGGGTCCGCTGCCGGCAGACTCTGGAGGAACCGGCTAGCTGTGGTACTGGTGCTGATGCTGGCGGCGCTGGCCGTGGTGGTGTACTACACGGAGGGCGAGCACCAGCAGGTAAGAGTGCCCGCTCTGGGCGGCGCCCCCGGCCTGCGGACCCCGGCAGGTCCGCGGCGGAGGAGGGAAGGGACCGGGAACGCTGGCAGAGCTGCCGAGCTCTGAGCTGGTGGCGTGGGCTCAGTCGATGATTCCGTACTCGCCCGGAAGCGCGTGCGTCTCCCGCTGTCAAAAGATTAGCGGGAGGGCCAAGTTTCTCATGCATTCACCCGGATGATATGGTCATCTGCCGTCTGGGAACGTTGCCGACTTGCTCACGCCGAACCTACTGGGATTACCTGCTGCTGATGAACGTTGTGCATGCCGTTAGTGCTGGTAAACCTAGGTTACGTGTCCGCTGCGTGGGTGTTGAAGACGTTTCGCTGCAGTTCTTTGAGGAGTCTGCGGTTCCGCGTACACTACCAGTGTTTCACTCGAAAGTGCATCGCTGTAAAGTTGTGCCTCTGGGGAGTCAGTGGGAAGTGTATGCTCTGTGCCCCTCGATGCCGGTTGTGTTACCTGTCCCGCCCCATCAGCCGGGCGGACAAGGAGCCGCTGTGCCTCCTGAGGAAGAACCGTGTGATCTGACCCGAGCTAACCTGACCTGACCTCACCTGACCTGAGCTGACCTGGGCTGACCTGTCGCCGGCAGCTGATCGGCCGGGCCGAGAAGCAGCTGCTGTGGTGTCTGTACTGGGTCGGCCTGGGCGTGCTGAGCTCGGTCGGCCTGGGCACGGGGCTGCACACGTTCCTGTTGTACCTGGGTCCACACATCGCCGCCGTCACGCTCGCCGCCTACGAGTGCGACTCGCTCGACTTCCCTGAGCCGCCTTACCCGGAGCAGTGAGTGACGCCCCCCCCCCCCCCCCGCCCGTCCCGACACACTTCGCCCTACCCCGAGGATTGAGTGACGCCCCCACTGCTAGCCCCGTTCGGTCGAACCGGACGCTTGGAAAGCAGCACCGAACGGTCCGTGTTCTGAGGATCTTTTTGCCTCTGGTGCTTCAGCTTTATTCTATCCCATAATGTCCATTTCCGATGGTATCCCTCACTCGCCGGGTGTTTTACAGCTGCGATAGGCATCACTGGGCTGCAGACTGTGCTTTGTCTGCGACTGAGCCACCGTCTACAACGCATCATCGTACCGCTGGCGCCGCGCAACTGTGATCTGTGCCACTGAGTCGCCTTCCTCGTGCCGCTGGAGCCTCCGCGCCAATACTGCGCCGGCGGGACGCGGGGCGATGACGTCACCGCCCGCTGCCCTCAGGATCGTGTGCCCTCCGGAGTCTGCCGCCGCCGATGCCGTCGCCGATGCCGCCGCCGCCGCCGCGGCGCCAGTCACCATGTGGGCCGTGATGTCGAAGGTGCGGCTGGAGGCGTTCATGTGGGGCGCCGGCACCGCGCTCGGCGAGCTGCCGCCCTACTTCATGGCGCGCGCCGCCCGGCTCTCCGGCGTCGAGCCCGACGACGAGGACTTCGAGGAGTTCGAGGAGCTGCGCAAGAAGAAGAACGCCGGCGACTTGTCGCTACTAGACCGCGCCAAACTCGGCGTGAGTGGGGGAAAGGGAGGGGTATGGGTGGCTCTACGGGACCGGCGATGATTTTGCGAAGGCTCAGTGCGCAGATGGCGGAGGCCGTTCCGCGCACGGGAAGCCAGGGATTTCGTGCAGAGAGGCTGGTTGTTGTTTGTTGTGGTTTGATATTTACGTGTCCGCTCTCGCGCAGTTCTAGCACATTATTTGTTCTTTACGGTCGTGACATTTTCTCATTAGGAATAGGGACAATAAGAACGTAAAGATGGTGACGATGGATTCGCCCCGTCACCATCTTGACGTGAAGTACGGTGTCAGCCCCGGTTACCGTGGCCGGGTACGGTGTCAGCCCAGGTTACCGTGGCCGGGTACGGTGTCAGCCCCGGTTACCGTGGCCGGCACAGTGTCCGAACCTGGTGCCGTGTTACCGTGGCCGGGTACAGTGTCCGAACCTGGTGCCGTGTTACCGTGGCCGGGTACGGTGTCTGGCCCGATGCCGTGTTACCGTGTTACCGTGGCCGGGTACGGTGTCTGATCCGGTGCAGTGTTACCGTGGCCAGATGCAGTGTCTGACCCGGTGCCGTGTTACCGTGGCCGGGTACAGTATCTGACCCGGTGCCGTGTTACCTTGGCCGGGTACGGTGTCTGACCCGGTGCCGTGTTACCTTGGCCGGGTACGGTGTCTGACCCGGTGCCGTGTTACCGTGGCCGGGTACAGTGTCCGAACCTGGTGCCGTGTTACCGTGGCCGGGTACAGTGTCTGGCCCGATGCCGTGTTACCGTGTTACCGTGGCCGGGTACGGTGTCTGATCCGGTGCAGTGTTACCGTGGCCAGATGCAGTGTCTGACCCGGTGCCGTGTTACCGTGGCCGGGTACAGTATCTGACCCGGTGCCGGGTTACCTTGGCCGGGTACGGTGTCTGACCCGGTGTCGTGTTACCTTGGCCGGGTACAGTATCTGACCCGGTGCCGTGTTACCTTGGCCGGGTACGGTGCCTGACCCGGTGCCGTGTTACCTTGGCCGGTACAGTGTCTGACCCGGTGCCGTGTTACCTTGGCCGGTACACTGTCTGACCCGGTGCCGTGTTACCTTGGCCGGGTACGGTGTCTGACCCGGTGTCGTGTTACCTTGGCCGGGTACGGTGTCTGACCCGGTGCCGTGTTACCGTGGCCGGGTACAGTAGCTGACCCGGTGCGTGTTACCTTGGCCGGGTACGGTGTCTGACCCGGTGCCGTGTTACCTTGGCCGGTACAGTGTCTGACCCGGTGCCGTGTTACCTTGGCCGGTACAGTGTCTGACCCGGTGCCGTGTTACCTTGGCCGGGTACAGTGTCTGACCCGGTGTGTTACCTTGGCCGGGTACGGTGTCTGACCCGGTGCCGTGTTACCTTGGCCGGGTACAGTATCTGACCCGGTGCCGTGTTACCTTGGCCGGGTACGGTGTCTGACCCGGTGCCGTGTTACCGTGGCCGGTACAGTGTCTGACCCGGTGCCGTGTTACCTTGGCCGGGTACGGTGTCTGACCCGGTGTCGTGTTACCTTGGCCGGGTACAGTATCTGACCCGGTGCCGTGTTACCGTGGCCGGGTACAGTATCTGACCCGGTGCCGTGTTACCTTGGCCGGGTACGGTGTCTGACCCGGTGCCGTGTTACCGTGGCCGGTACAGTGTCTGACCCGGTGCCGTGTTACCTTGGCCGGGTACAGTATCTGACCCGGTGCCGTGTTACCTTGGCCGGTACGGTGTCTGACCCGGTGCCGTGTTACCGTGGCCGGTACGGTGTCTGACCCGGTGCCGTGTTACCTTGGCCGGGTACGGTGTCTGACCCGGTGCCGTGTTACCTTGGCCGGGTACGGTGTCTGACCCGGTGTCGTGTTACCTTGGCCGGGTACGGTGTCTGACCCGGTGTCGTGTTACCTTGGCTGGGTACAGTGTCTGACCCGGTGCCGTGTTACCGTGGCCGGTACGGTGTCTGACCCGGTGCCGTGTTACCGTGGCCGGTACGGTGTCTGACCCGGTGCCGTGTTACCTTGGCCGGTACGGTGTCTGACCCGGTGCCGTGTTACCGTGGCCGGTACGGTGTCTGACCCGGTGCCGTGTTACCTTGGCCGGGCACGGTGTCTGACCCGGTGCCGTGTTACCGTGGCCGGGTACAGTATCTGACCCGGTGCCGTGTTACCTTGGCCGGGTACGGTGTCTGACCCGGTGCCGTGTTACCTTGGCCGGGTACGGTGTCTGACCCGGTGTCGTGTTACCTTGGCCGGGTACGGTGTCTGACCCGGTGCCGTGTTACCTTGGCCGGGTACGGTGTCTGACCCGGTGCCGTGTTACCTTGGCCGGGTACGGTGTCTGACCCGGTGTCGTGTTACCTTGGCCGGTACAGTATCTGACCCGGTGCCGTGTTACCTTGGCCGGTACAGTGTCTGACCCGGTGCCGTGTTACCTTGGCCGGTACAGTGTCTGACCCGGTGCCGTGTTACCGTGGCCGGGTACAGTGTCTGACCCGGTGCCGTGTTACCGTGGCCGGTACGGTGTCTGGCTCGGTGCCGTGTTACCGTGGCCGGTACGGCGTCTGGCTCGGTGCCGTGTTACCGTGGCCGGGTACAGTATCTGACCCGGTGCCGTGTTACCGTGGCCGGGTACAGTATCTGACCCGGTGCCGTGTTACCTTGGCCGGGTACGGTGTCTGACCCGGTGCCGTGTTACCTTGGCCGGGTACGGTGTCTGACCCGGTGCCGTGTTACCGTGGCCGGGTACAGTGTCTGTCCCGGTGCCGTGTTACCGTGGCCGGTACAGTGTCTGACCCGGTGCCGTGTTACCTTGGCCGGGTACGGTGTCTGCCCTGTGCCGTGTTACCGTGGCCGGTACAGTGTCTGACCCGGTGCCGTGTTACCGTGGCCGGTACAGTGTCTGACCCGGTGCCGTGTTACCGTGGCCGGTACGGTGTCTGACCCGGTGCCGTGTTACCGTGGCCGGGTACAGTGGCCCGGTGCCGTGTTACCTTGGCCGGGTACGTGTCTGACCCGGTGCCGTGTTACCTGGCCGGGTACAGTCTGACCCGGTGCCGTGTTACCGTGGCCGGTACGGTGTCTGACCCGGTGCCGTGTTACCGTGGCCGGTACAGTGTCTGACCCGGTGCCGTGTTACCGTGGCCGGGTACGGTGTCTGACCCGGTGCCGTGTTACCGTGGCCGGTACAGTATCTGACCCGGTGCCGTGTTACCGTGGCCGGTACGGTGTCTGACCCGTACCGTGGCCGTGTACGACCGGCGTGTTTGGCGGTACGGTGTCTGCCGGGCGTGTTACCTTGGCCGGTACGTGTCTGACCCGGTGCCGTGTTACCTGGCGGGTACGGTGTCTGACCGGTGCGTGTACGCCGGGTACAGTATTGACCCGGCGTGTTACCGTGGCGGTACGGTGTCTGACCCGGTGCCGTTTACCTTGGCCGGGTACGTGTCTGACCCGGTGCCGTGTTACCTTGGCCGGGTACGGGTCTGACCCGGTGCGTGTTACCTTGGCCGGTACGGTGTCTGACCCGGTGCCGTGTTACCGTGGCCAGTACGTGTCTGGCCCGGTGCCGTGTTACCGTGGCCGGCACGGTGTCTGGCTCGGTGCCGTGTTACCATTACTGGTTACGTTGTCTGACCACCTGACGTGCGCAGGTGGAGCGGCTAGTGGAACGGGTCGGGTTCTTCGGTATCCTGGCGTGCGCCTCCATCCCGAACCCGCTGTTCGACCTGGCCGGCATCACGTGCGGCCACTTCCTGGTGCCGTTCTGGACATTCTTCGGTGCCACGCTCATCGGCAAGGTATGGATCAGCGCCGTGTGGCTGCCGCCAGCGCGGCAAAATTCGGCCCTTTGTATGCCAAGGAAACCGGTTCAGTTGACCAGTCGTTCATCCGAGTTATTCATAGGTGTGAGAACGGCTCTGAGTATGGTCCATGGTCGGGGCAGCGTTAGCGGACTGTTGTCAGACGAATCAAGTCAGGAGAGATTTCGGGTGCCGTCCGCACATTTTCCCAGACAGCATTATTTTTGTGTTGGCAGGTCGTATGCGCTTGAGTTTGCTTTCCCCGTGATGGGTTGCCAGATGCTGCTTCGACGTGATGATAAGTGCGCCCATGTGGCGTGTTGTGAATACCTAACTGCACTGTCCGTCAAATACCCTCAAATGCCATGCACGGAGCATAGGGAACTGCGAACGCTGGGCATTGGGGATGCTAAATGTCATATCCAGGACAGACAAATGTGTCCTGACGTCCACATCCATCCTTGCATGACGTGCATTCTGAGCAAATGGAGTGCAAATGGACTCTTATTGCCCGGGCTGTCAGATCGAGGAAGGCTAGAAATATGCCATCGATCGGCTGCTTCTGGATCCGACCCGAACGTGTCCCGTGGCCGTGCCCGCCGCTCGACCTCTGTTTCATGGCCCATGGTTATAGTTATGGTTATCGCGTTAAGTTCCCACGGCGGTTATGGTGGTGTCCCTGTGTTATCATACTTTGACGAAGTACTTCTCCGAGTATCCGGAGTGCCGGGTGGTTTGGGGTATAGCGATTGGGCGTATGAACGTTAGGTTTGACAAATCTTCGTGCGGGCCTTCACTCTGTACACGGTGGTAAATACATACGGGGTCCAGAACATCATAAGGTGTGTCATACGGTACGCGCGAGCCCTGCAACGCATCCGAGAGGCCTAACGACGACCTCTCTCTCCCTCCGTCTGGGCCAGGCGGTGATCAAGATGCACATTCAGAAGATGTTCGTGATCGTGACATTCAACGAGAGCCTGGTGGAGTCGGCCGTGGAGCTGCTGGGCCGCCTGCCGCTGGGCGACAAGGTGCAGGGCCCCTTCAAGGAGCTGCTCAGCAAGCAGAAGGAGAAGCTGCATCGGAAGCCGGGCGAGGGCGCGGCACCGGTGAGGCTCGGGTCCGGCTGCGGACGGCGGCGCTTGAGCGGCGCGAGGGGGGGGGGGGGGGGCGGACGCTGTAGGGAGAACGGTCGGAGCGGCGGTGGATGTTTGTGTGTTGGGCTGCTCATGCTCAGTAAGTCGGTCTGTGTGGGGCACAGCAGCTTGCGCTGCTCATCGGAGGGGTCGGGACAGGACAGGCAGACGGATGTGTGAAGCCCGGCGACTCCGGTATAATGGGAGAGTGGCGATCCCCTGGTATACTGTCACGGGCGGGCGGATCGGTGATTTGGAATCCAGTATGTGTCGGTTTGAAACGGAGCTCGTACTCGGCTTTCGCCTCCAATGCGTTGCTTTCATCTCAACCTCCGATGTTGCGGTGCCGTTGGCCATCTGGAGGGCGGGCTTGTCAGCGGCACGTAACCCCTCATCCCTAACCCCTGGCCTTTTCGCAGAGCTCGGAGAGCTTGCTGTCCGCCATCTTCGAGAAAGTCATCATCATCATGGTTATCTACTTTGTCGTGTCCATCGTTAACTCCATGGCGCAGAGCTACCACAAGCGGCTGCACCGGTCCAAGGAGCGTAAAGTGGCGAGGGACTAGCAAAGACTGCAACATTCCGGCGCCGGCGGACGGGGCCGCGTGCTGGCGCGGCGCGGTCGACCCCGGCTGCTGCCGCTGTGAGGCGGCGGCCGGCGCCTGCTCCGTCTACCTCTGGCCGGACGCCGAGCCCCGGCGGGGGCCGGCGGCGGCCGGCGAGGCGGACACCTTCCTTAGCGAGCGGCGCCGGGACTCGAGAGTCGCGCCCGGCGGCGGCGCCCGTGGTCGGGCCAGGTGGTGTCCGCGTGTGACGGCCGCTGCGGCGGACCACCCGCTCCTGCTGGCCGGGCGGGGCGGGGCGCCGTGCTGCCCTCTGCCGATGCTCGCAAAGTCGGAGTCGGTGGCGGCGGCGGCCGGACCGGTACCTGCGCCGGGTACCGGCGCGGGCGGCCACAGGCGCGCGTGTCGCGGCCGTGGTCCGCGACCGCCGGACTTCGTGACCGTGACGACCAAGTGTTGGGTAGCTCAAGCGCACGCGGTCGGGAGACGCGGGTCAGACTTGTGTATCGGCGCAGTGATATGACGTGTTCGTATATCCATAGTACTGTGATGCCGTGTCAGCATACTCCCGTGCCGCCGACCCAGCTCGTACGTGTCAGATCTGGGTATTTTAGCTACGCGTGTAGTACCTAAGTTTTCACTCTACTGTGCATTTTATCACGCAGGTATCCGCTCCACGTGTGCCCGTATTGTATCGACCTGTTTTGTGGTAGAAATTCATATAGTATTGACGCATTATTTAAGGTCTCCTCGTCAATCATTTAAATGGAATACACGCATAATGTGCCCAGCACAGATGTGTTTCGTAATCATAGTCGTGAGGATGAAATTTTACCGCGGATGCATTGCTGGCACGATGAATTGAAGGCATGCTCCATATTTGCTTGGGGTTTTGAACTGAAATGGTCATGTTGAAGACCTTTTGATGCAGCTCACGGCCATGCCCTTTTTAAGGCCCGAAGCTCTTTGGTTCTCGAGATTCAAAGGCCGCAAGGATGTGGGAGAGTAATTTGGGGAGCATTTGAAAGTCACCTTGACATTTACGGCGTCCTAATGGCATTCAAATCCTGCCGTCTCATTAGCCATGCGGTGATCAAGGCCAATGCAAATATAATGGCCAAGGTACTGACCTAGCGTTGGCAAGCACAAATTCCAATTAAAGCGGCCGTCAATTGGCTCTCATTCAATGTTGTGCAGGGTACGATGACGTACCTAGCAGCATATTTACTAAACAGAAGTTGTTTTGTCTACTGTAGAGCGGTATTTTGTACTTAAAAGTGCACCAACAGCTATAAATGAGCGCGTTTCATCATATTTGATGCTTATTTCACTATCTTCAGATGTGAAACATTCCCTTCCACCAGCCCTCCGGTTGCGTAGATGGAACTGTTCACAGAGGGTTTTCACCTCAGCGCCACCTACCGGGTAGTTCCGCCTCAGACCGCTGGTGGTGTCGCGTGTGTCTTCTGTGTGGTGTTGCGCTGCTTCTCTGAGCAGGCTGGAGATTGAGACTAGCCATATGTATCGCTGCGCATGACCGGATGTGGACGGAAACGTGGGCTGATAGTTGATGAACGTACACTAGCGTCGGCAAAAACAGCAAAAAGGTCACCCAGTTACACCCGGCAATTGTAGGGAATATTTTAACTGGTGTAGCTCTGAAAACTGACGGACAGCATAACGGCCTCAAACAACATTTCTAAATAAATAAGTGTATTTTACGACATGTCCATGCGCATAAAAAACAAAACTGCTAGACAGTGGGCAGTGCTCATCAAGCAAACACCGCCTAACATCACCACCGCGTTCACACTTCTCTCGCACACAGAATGCTTGTCAACAGCCAAACCAGGAGACGCCAGGTCGCAGAGGCCCCACGTCTCCGCTGTCATGCCCGTACGCCCTCCCCTCCCTCTTAGTTAGCCGCAGCCATCGCCAGGTACTTTCTAGGGATGTGTGGCCCTCAGGGCCGGCAGGCGTACATCACGCCGTGGTCATTGCATGGACCGCGACCCTGCGGACCCCGACGCGGCCCCGGACGCGCCATTGTACTTTGGTAGTTATCATTGCTGCCCGCCAGGTGGCCGCGACACGCGGCACCCGGCCGCCACTCTGGTAACTCTCACGTTTGGGGCATCAGCCCCGGCTGCCGGTGGGCACTGCAGACCCGCCGGGCTCACGGCGCCTCGGAAGCCCTCGGAAGCCCCTGGAGAAGGTAAGTGGTGAACAGCCGGCGCGGACCGGCCGCAATGCCCTGGCCTCCGAAGCCAGCGTGCGCGCAACGTGGGAGTTACCTCGTAAAGTGACTAGCCTTAGCGTGAACTCCAGCGCCGTCGCCACCGCACAGAAACCGACCACAAAGCATAGAAAAATACGCGGCGAGCGGGGCCGACGCCCAAGCGGCTCGCTCGCGCCGCTGCGCCAGCCCGTCCTTGAGCGCCACGATCCGCGCGCACCAAGCTGCCTCGCGCGCATCACATGGTGTCCTCCATGGTGATGAACTTCTGCACGGCCGGCGGCACGCCGAGCCGACCCACGCCCTCGCCGATGCCGCCGCCCGCCTGCAGGCTCCGACGCACCGCCTCGCAGCTCAAGTGGCGCAGCTCTGCCGGCTGGCTCCAAAAGCGGCGCATACGCGACTTGAGCTCCAGGAACACGGGTCCCAACAGCCGGAAGTGCTGGCCCTGGCTCACCATGGCGCCCAGCACGTGCGCCTGCATCTCGGCCGGCCGGCGCGCCATCTGGCGGCAGAGCAGCGCCAGCGTGACGTCACAGTCCTCGAGGCGGCGCCGCTGGACGACGCCGCGCAGCAGCGCGCAGAAGGCCGACGCGCGCCGCACGCGCACCTGCGCGCCCTCGTTCAGCAGGAGACGCGTGAGCGGCGCGGCCGCGTCCAGCCGCTGCGCGCTGTACATCAGCAGCGTGCTGTCGCGCTGGTTGACGGCGTTGACGTCGGCACCGGCGCGCACGAGCCGGGCAGCCAGGCGCGCCGCCAGCGCCGCGTGCCCGTTGGCGACGAACGAGCGCAGGTAGAGCAGCGGCGTGTCGCCATCCTGGTCAGCGACGTCCAGCCGGCTGCCGGCCGCCAGCAGCGTGGAGCAGGCCTCCTCCAGCACCGGTCGGCTCGGGCAGCGGCTCTGGTCTGCGGGACGGGGGGAGGCTGGTGACGAGGTCCCGCGAGCAACGGTTGGCGATAACGGCGGGCCGGTGGCGTCCGCACACCGACGCAGGCGTACACACCGGACAGTCGGAGTTGTTGTGAATAGTACAGCCCGAATTACGATTTAATGCGCCCCCTTCACGAGTTGCATGCCTGTCCAAAAGAGGCTGAAAAACAGGACAGTACGGGGTTCAAACGCTGACAGCGATTAACTGCAAGATTAAAACGCTGACCGGGTTGTGCGAGTTCGTAGGATCTTATTTGATACGGGAAGGCAACCGCGCAAGAAGACTATTACAGCATAGCAGCTTACACCATCGCGTGTCAGAAGCTTCTTCTTCTATAGAGACTTATATGGGCGAGATCTTTGTTTAAAGAACGTTGTGCTCAAAGCTTCTTAGAATGATCCTTGGAAGAGCATAGTAAAGGATGTTCTTCCTACCCCTTCCCAGTGAAGACAGCTTAAGGCCGATGACTCTCGGTTCGCAAGAGCTTTTCTGCACAACTCGGCCAAGTTTTGAAGACTTCATTTCAACGCCATGAACGACCGTGCTTTGCAACATCGGCTAATGCATTCCCAGACACATAAAGGCGCCCGCGGTCCACAGAGTAGGCACCACTTACAGAGGAGGAGAACATGCAGCGGAGTTTGTCCCGAGCCATTCTGGACGTTGACAAGTTGCGGATGTCTCCGACAGATGTCTCTGATGGCCTGTCGCGGGTCGACCGTGGCACAAGCGCGGTGCAATGACGTCACAGAGTCCTGGAAGCAAGACTGCCACGTCAATACGCTGAGCCGTTTGCTATCCCAACGAGCCGGACACCTACGCCTATGACCAGTGACAGCTCAACAAAATGCGTGACGTGCCTTTCGAATTTATTCCTCATTTAAATAAAGCGCTCGGGAACATCGGAAACAAAACACGATTTAGATTATCATACATCCGAGATGCTTGGACTGTTCAAGTCCTGCGGCAACCGCCTTGTAACAAAAAGTAACGACTGAAAAGTGCCCTCCAGGCATTCCAGCTAAATGGGCCCAACCATAACCAAGTTTGCAAACTTTGAGGGCTGTTCCGTGGCACATGTTCAAGTTTTCGAAAGTTAGTACAGGAATACACGGATTTATGTAATGCGAAGCGGGCCATTGCCAGTCCAGCTCTGCGCGCGGTCTGCTCAGTCTGCTCCGGGCAAACTAGTTTAGTATAGGAACACCCGGATGTACGGCGCATGAGCCTTCACTACGCATCAAGAAATACAAATGAATTATGGGAATTTAGCAACATTCATAGGTTTTCGATTGAAAATGCATTTCACTGAAGACAATCGATCGGCTACGTTGTGCAAACATGTCCCTCGCGTCAAAACGGCGGTCACATCGTCAGAGGTGCCTTTCCGCGGCAATACGCGGGTCATTTCTCGTGCACAGATATGCGGCGTGCGTCATAACGCGAACGCTCTTTTCAGAATCAAAGGCGTTCGCGTCACAGTGTCTACTCCCTCCCACAGATTTCCGGTCCCTGATCGAAGTTATCACAGACTTGTGATGAGAACTGCTGAGATATCGTACTGCCACCATCAAATGTGTGATAGTGTTGATGACGTCATGCCTCCATTTCAGTGCCCTATTGCGTCCACAGTTATGCCAGCGACCCCAACCAACATCACCCAGGGGTCTAATGCCCGGCGAATTGCGCTAGATGGCTCAGTATAACCCTGACGACGAGGCCCTCGAGCAGGAACGCCGCCGTGGCTCATCGCTACGGTTAGACCTGGGTGGAGCTCCGGCCGCGGCTCCCCGCTTAGGTCATAGCCCGGAGCGGCTCCCCGGTAAGGTCACAGCCCGGGCTCCGGATGCGGCTCCCCGCTAAAGTCACGGCCCGGGCAGGAGCTCCGGCCGCGGATCTCTGCTAAGGTCACAGCCCGGGCTCCGGCAGCGGATCCCTGCTAGGGTCACAGCCCGGAGCGGCTCTCCGCTAAGGTCACAGCGCGGGCTCCGGCTGCGGATCCCTGCTAAGGCCACGGCCCGGGCTCCGGCCGCGGATCCCTACTAAGGTCACAGCCCGGAGCGGCTCCCCGCTAAGGTCACAGCCCGGGCTCCGGCTGCGGATCCCTGCTAAGGTCACAGCCCGGGCTCCGGCTGCGGATCCCTGCTAAGGTCACGACCCCGGGCTCCGGCCGGATCCTGCTAAAGCCCGGCTCGGCCGTGGCTCCCGACTCGGTCCGCCCGGCGGGCATGACGTGTCCACCGACCCCGTCACGCGACCGTGCCAGTCCCGGTCAGAGCCTCACCTCAATGTACACGCAGGTGGTGGGCTTGTGCAGCACAGTACTGTAGCCGAGGAAGAGCGCCAGCGGCGGCTCCAGCGACGCCTCAGGGCCTGCAATGGCGCGGACGTCAGCCACGGCCGCCCAGACGGCCGCCAAAGGCCGCGGCTGGCGGGCCATGTCACAAAGCCTGCATGTCTGGAGCAGCGGCGGCCACTGATCGTGACGCGACGGCGAGTTATCGCAGGACAGCGGCGAAGGTGTAGTGACTGCAGCGTGCGTGACAGCCGATAGCCGTCACTGGTGATTCAAATTATAGGAGCGCTGACGTCAGGCATCCTTTTGTGCCCGGCCAGTGCGGGTCAAGATGGACAGTCGTCATTAACAGACATGGCCGCGAGTGACAACCATGCACGATCGAGGGAAAGGCGCGCAGTTTCAGCTGCACACCGTCCTGCCACTACTGACAGCACCATGTATGGCAGATATTGTCTCCCTGGCGGGTCAGACCCACGCGCACCACAGACACCAACATCGCGCAGGCAGCAGTTTCCGCAGAGATCTCAGGTCCGCCGTCGCAGGTTCCACCAGACATCCCAGGTCCGACGGCATAGGTTCCGCCAGACACCTTAGATACGACGTCACAGTTTCCGCCAGACATCCCAGGTCCGACGTCACGGGTTCCGCCAGACATCACCGGTCAGACACCGCGGCCGCCGCGGACGCCAGGGCCGCCACCTCACGTGTCTCGTCTTCAACTCAAGAGTTCAGCAGCACGGACCGTTCCGAGAAACGCCGAGGCGGGCGCCGTCTTTCAATTAGTCGATATTGAAGCGGCTCCCGGCTGAGCTCCACCATGAGAAATCCTCTTCCAAGAGGAGCGGGGCCGGCGCGGCTCCCACATAAGGCCGCCGGATTCGCGGGGACCGCCGAGGACCGTGCCGAGGACCGCGCCGAGGACCGCCCTGCCGCGGGGGGCGCCGCACGCCGCTCGCCCGGGCCCAATGTGACATTTTGCACGGCATGATGGCGTGCCAGAAGAGCGACGGCTATTCTCGGGTGCATGTCAAACGATCGGCCCGGGAACGAGCAACCCCGGCTGGGGCTCGGGTCGACGGGGAGCTGGGTCACACGCGACTCATTTGCAGCCGTCGATGTCTAGTAGTTTCGTTTCGCGATGGACGTTAAGCGTTAACACCTGTCATGAATTGTGTTTTCGCACAGCAGTAAATATTGCGAGGCAATGACTGGAAAAGCCCCGTGCGAATTGTGCGGTTTACGGGGGTGAACTGCCAAGTGCAACTTTTTGCGAGGAAATCCTAGTATCCATGTCCCACGTCCAGATTCGCCGAACCCAGGCCGGCCGGCCTGAATGCCCGCAAACCCACGCAGCACGAATGACCTTTGAGCTGAGCAGCCCACCGACCACGCCCACGGTTACACACCGGAAGATAAAGGCTCTGGGCACATGGCCGTCGTCCCAGCTCCTGGAACTAAGACACCGCGGGCTGAGCTCTCCGAAGACGGATTCGGCATCTCTCCGTCCTGGCGGCCTCTAAAACGCCGGGAAGAGAAGGTCCGAGTCCGCTGGGTTTACATGATCAACAATCCGGAGCCAACGCCAGAACACGTCAGCTTAGCGGGCTGATTTAAAGGCGCCGGTGCCTCTTTGAGCCGCGCTGTGCCGCCTTCAAGCGGCGAGGAGTGCTCGCAAGCCTAGCGTGTGCCGGCCTCGGTGCGGGCGGGGTAGCTCACCTTTCCTGTTGAGCGGCGGCGCCTCCAGCTGGCGCTGGAGCGAGCTCTTCCGGTGCCGACACTCGCCGAGGAAGCAGGCGGCCGGCAGCAGCGCGGCATCGCCACCGCCGCCACCGTCACCGCCGCCGCCCTCCGGCTCCGGCCGCTCCAGCATCGAGCAGAGCAGCTCCTCCCTGCGGAGAGACGTGAGGACGTGAGAACGTGAGCATGGAGAGGACGTTCCTCCCTGAGAAAGGTCAGCACGCAGGCGTCTCACACGCTAGGCACAGCAGCACGCTGAGGCACAGGGACGCGTCGAAGCGCACCACCTCCCCGCCGTACGTCGCTCGGGCAGAGCGGGGCACTTTCCCGCAGCCCTAGAGACTTAGCGTCGGTCGCGCCCGCAGCGAGCCTGCTCCGCCCCCGGCCGCCGCTCCGCCGTCGACGCGGCGTGGGAACGGGCGGGGGGGGGGGGGGGGGCGTGACGGCGGCGGGCGGCACGTGCGTCCGCGGCTGACAGACGTCAGCCGGGGAGCAGGCCGGATGCCCGGACCCTAATCCGCCCGTCGGGCACCGTTAGCGTCGCCCGGAGGGCCGCCACCCGGGACGAACCGTCTGCCCCCCCCCCCCCCCATCACCTCTCCCCCGTCCACCCACCCGAGTGGTGGGAGCGAGCCGCCACGCTCACGGCCCCGTCGGCGGGCGATAATGGCGGCCACCTGGCCAATTAAAACCGGCTCATCGCCCATGACCGGCCGCAAGTGGCACAGGAAGTCATTACACGCGAAAGGCATGCATAACTCAGCTTTTTGCTCACTCGCATAGTAAACACGACCTTGAAGACATTTAAATGGAGATGCACGCGGTAGCTGGTGGCTTGACGAGCAAAAAACGCTCGGAACAACGCCCGCAAGCCCGCATTAAAGCTCGTTTGTGACGCCTGGACAAATGACGAAATCAGGGCCATTCGGCCTGCGGCGCACACTCGGAAGAGGGGAACGTCCCCAGACCGCCGACTGTCCGGTTCCCTATATTTGCAGCCGCTTCCTGGTCCGCTATTGATTGGCGGAGACGGGTGCGGCTTTCTCATAATGGGATGGGGAGCGCGCGTCAAGGTTAGCCGGCCGCCCCTGCCGCCGCGCCGGCCGGGGGCGCCGAGCACGTGACTTCCACGCGCCGGCGCGAACAAAGGCAGCGCCTGGGTCGGGCCCGGTCGCGCGCCAAATTGCACGGGGAGCCGCAGCAGCGCGCAGGGGAGGACGAAGGGGTGGGGGCTTTAAACTGGGCCGGTCGTTGAACCCGGCCCTGGGGTGGGGGATTTTTTTTGTTAAGTCAATACGGAAGAGAGCTGGGGAGGGCGCGGAAGGTCGGGCAGAATTCGCGGCGAGCCCGGGCGCGTGTTTTTTTTGCTCGCTGGCGGTGGGGTGGACCAAGCAGGACTCGATGTCGCGGCGCCGGCGGCGAGGTCTGCTGGCACAGAGGTATGCACGCATGGAAAATGCAGCATTTCGTGTCGAATTGGCTAAGCTGTTAGCTGGAAACTGTGCGGTGACCTTCAGGTCGGGGCAACGTCGCAGCATTCTTTTAAAAATGAAAGACCAAGGAATCGACCCATCTAATTAGTTGTGGCACGGGCCGCGATTAATGGCCAGAGAACTCCTGAACCCTCTCCGACAATGCAGACCGCTTTTCCAATTGCAAACAACGTCAGTCAGGGTCAGCTGTATGCTGGGGAAGTGCAAATAGCGCTCATGACTCAGGACCATGCTTACGCGGCACATCTGCGCAGCGAAGGTGCCTGCCGGTGTATGAATTGTATCTCGGGAACCCGTCACCAAAACATTGCCTTCCTCGAACACTCAAAGCAATATCCTGTGAAGTCTTGTCTAGGCCCACCTCATCCAGTTCGGTGAACCGGACCTGATTTCGCCCCTATACTGCCGCTGCCGCACGGCAGACGCACGCGCTGCCGTCGCCTTGGATCCGGCTCGGGCATGCCGTATGCGCACTGATCTCACGTTACCACGAGGTCGCGGCCTGGGCACCAGACCCTCTGTAATGGCGCCCGTCGGCTGAAACGGATCGCCGGGCACCGCGTCCGACGGCAGACGGGGCGCAAACGCCACTCCGTATGGTCGCAGGTGGACGGACGGGGCGCACACGCCACTCCGTGTGGTCGCAGATGGACAGACGGGGACGCACACGTCACTCCGTGTGGTCGCAAGCGGGCAGACGGGCCGCACACGCCGCTCCGTGTGGTCGCAGGTGGACAGACGGGGCGCACACGCCGCTCCGTGTGGTTGCAGGCGGACAGACGGGGCGCACACGCCACTCCGTGTGGTCGCATGTGGACAGGCGGGGCGCACACGCCACTCCGTGTGGTCGCATATGGATAGACCACAGACAGGGCGCACACGCCATTAACTTTGGTCGGGACACCAGAGGGCGCTTCACGAGAAGTGCCGAATTCAGTTCTAGATAATAATGGTCATTACATATAAAAAGTCAATCAAGGTGAGTGCAGGGTGCAAACATGATTTCACTGTATATTCACGTTTCGCCGCAACACCTTCAGGTATGCTGCTAAAACAATGACAGGGTCCTGGTATTTGGTTAGTATCGTGGATTTCTTTTTTTGCGAACAGGTTAAGTGGAATTACAGGACAGCGTCTTACAATGCCAAACCTCTCCGCTAAAAATCGGACACGGTAAGGTCTTGGCAACAAGCTGTGTTGACACGATGTGCGAAGTGGTTTCATGCATTGAACCGAGCTAAGCTCTGAATATTTTTTGGCGGTGCCAGCGTGGAGACAATGCAGAGCACTCCAAGGCCACATGCGGTCATGCGGCTTTAAGCGAGGCTGCGTATACCTCCACATAATCTGGATGACTGTGTTGTGAAAAGGTGTCAACTCATGCTGCCCGAGAACCTATGAGCGTGCAAATCCCCTCATACTTCCCGGGATGTGCAGACCACACGTGCTTCGGACACTTTGGCACGTGCACGTATCATCGCAACCTGGTTATTCCGTCCAGTCACTCATGTCCAATACGCTGAGCAAGCGTTCAAACAAACACCAACCGCACTGAATACCAATTGCCCTTCTGAGCTCAGACTAGTACCCCAGCCATCCTGTATGCGATATCTGCAATAGAACAATACATGAACCGTCGACCCGTCGACTAATCTGCAGAGCGGTGGACAGGATGCCTTTCGCAATATCGAACCGAACAACAATCACGGACCGTTCGAAGCGCGTAGCGCTTGACACATTCCTAAGTTGGTCAGGCCGACGGCGGGAGCGGAGTAATGCGAAGACTGACCGCCAACCAAACTACGGAGTGTACGTCATGCACTACGTATCTGGCCAGCCCCGAGGTCGCCTCCTGCAGGCTCCGCCGTCTCGGCGCGTGCCGAGAGGGACGAGGGCGCGGCCCGTGACGCGCCGCCCGATTGATTCATTCACGGCGGCACGTCGATTGTACGCGATAACAGGATCATCAAACAACAACCCCAGTCCCGCCGTTGTACAGATGCACGGAGCTTTGTTGCCACGCTCAAACGCGTGACGTTTCGGATTCATCCCGGCACGCCCCAACGTCTAATGTTTATCTTTAGCCCACCATGGAGAGGCAACTACGCTATGTGTTACATGTTACATGTTACATGAATGTGACATGTAACTTAACCCCCCGGCACTCAGTCTCCCGCGAGCTACGACGCCGGCACTCCCGCGAGCCGCGACGGTAGATGGGGGTTGGTACAACCACCCGCCAACCCCAAGCCCAGCGCGATCCGACCGGCAAACCAGCACCCAGCAGCAACAAACCAGCAAAACAGCGCGACAAAGATAAAATGTGAATAAATTTAAACCATTCGCGCACACGATCCGGCACAGTTTGGAGGAGACGTCCAACAGCGAAGTTTTAACGACCCAGATGCCTTTAGGATGTTATCTTCCACGTAGGATCCCACCGCTCCCGTACATGTTATTTTCCACGTAGGATCCCATCGCTCCTTTATATGTTATTTTCCACGTAGAATCCCACCGCTCCTTAACATATTATTTTCCATGTAGGATCGGGTCACAAGAGATCAGACTTCGTCCCCGCGTTACCAAGATGGCTTCACCGATGTACTAGAAATAAAGCTAAAAAACAGCGTGGCACCATTCGCGTCCCAAGAGGATTGAGCGTCCATCCGAACAAAATGTCCCCCAATGATATTGGACTCAAGATCTTTCTGTGTGACAATGACGTTGATATATTGTGAACGGTTACTTTGCAATACTTTGAACGCTTTTGAAGCATTGGTCTTGACGTGACCCTGAAGTTGGATGACATTCACATCAAATCGGACAGATCCCAGACACTCTGATTCATGATCGAGCGGACGCTAAAGTTGAGTTGACACCATTTTTAATATCCGACCCGGCGCGACCTTCACAATGAACGACGCCACAGGCACTGGCCACACGCACGATCATCCACAGAACACCTTCAGAATCATCGGACGAGAATACATCGTGCACGCAGAGCTCAGAAAACGTCACAGAACGACAGTTTTCCACGTTTTCGCAGCGCAAAACTTTGAGAATAATGTTATAAGTCGGTGATCTGGCATGGTAGGAGGCTGAAACTTGCCAAACTGGTGCTAAGAACGTTTGAAACTTACGCTAATCCAAAATTAATCATGATGTGCTTAACAGTTCGGAAATATATATTCAAAGAACGGAACAGAGCTGTGCGAGCCCACGCGCCAGTGAAGGGTTATTACCTAACTACCGTGAAACTACGAATTAACGTGCGACAATTACCTCTTGTGACGAGGCAAACGTGCTTGCCATCAATTCCTGGCTAAGCTGTGCTTGTCACACCCATCCTCGCCCCAGCACCATGCCCCAACGACGACACTAACCGAGCGCATGCGGAACCTGCAGAGCGCATGGTGGGTTGCGCACCGTCGTGCGCAGCTCCGGTGCCCAGTGCGCCACTTCCGGGCGGCTCTGGAGCTCGCCCGTCACGCGGCAGCAGCCACTGGCCGGTGCAGGCGCTACCGGCCCGCACGGCGCGGTCTCGGGAGAGGCGGCGCCGCTGCCCATGGCAAAGGTTCAACGACCCGTCGCGTCGAACCCGCCGAACCAGCCGAGGCTTTCTCGCGAGGTGGCAACGCGCCGCGCTCGGCCGACTTTCG